GATATGCCCGAAGATGTTGATATCTTTTGAAAAGATTTTGTTTCATTCATTTACTAAAGTTAAACCCATATTTTCCCCCAAAAATATAAACAAAAAACAAAATCTAAGTTAAGAAACAAACTGAATACGAATAAATATTTTAGTGCTTTTCCTGTCAAAAAATATATTAATATGAAAAAAGAGTTGAGAGTTGCTACAGCTTTCCCATTGAAATGAAATTAATTTTAGATATCACTGATCAAAATTTGTACAAAGGTAAAAAGTGACTGATATCCCTACTTGTTATAGTTTTTATTAATATATTAATATTGTTTAATTCAATATATTTTTTTTAATATTAAATACATACCGCCATTACTCGCTGACGAGTATTTGACACGCATCAGAAGATGGTCACGCAAGGCGTTTTCTTTCATGAGCTTTTCTCAAATAATTTTTTTAAATATATCTTTTCTCATAAAATTTTTTAAATAATATACCTCTACTGAGGTATAACTACTCGGTTGAGACCGGGATTCATCCACTCCTGGATATAGGTCTCTCCTATCCTTTTCCATGAGTCCCTGTTATGTGCTATATTTAGCCACCGTTTACCTGCCACTTCCTTAATGTCACGCAGGGACGTGCCCCTGCCCACGCGAGCCTTATAGCTTATCTCCCAAGACCATACTGGGGAAATCACTGTCCCATCCCATTCTCATATCCAAACCTCAAAATTTTCTAATCAAAAGCGTGGCCTTGAAATTACCAAACCTCTAAACCACGAAATGTCGAACCTTAAAACAAAATCTACCCCAGGCGAGTAGAACGTATGATTCTGTAGAATCTCGCACTGAATATAATATACCTACCTATTTCTAATTCTTGTTATATTTACTATATTTGTATTTTATTTGAGTGATCTAGTATTACGACACATAGGAATACTAATTTTGGACTTAAATATTATATTTTATTTTGTTTCTGTACTTTTGATTTTTGTTGAAGATCTACCGAGAATTTTGTTCTCGTATGGAATTATAATCTAATAAACCTGGCAACCCTGTTCGGCTACTCCTTTATAAAGTTTTTTTCGGCCTTCTTCCTTGTCGCCGCCGCCGCCGACCGACCGGTCAGTGTCGGGGCGACTGCAAGGAAGATCGTACAGTATTGCCATTTCATAGAATTGCACTTGCTATTTTAGAAATGATTTCAAACTTCTGCATGTTACTTTTTGTTTTAGAAAGAAGTTGTTCTGTGCCTAGAGAAAACATTCTTAAAATTGTTTTGTACTTTATTTAATATTTCATTAAGTAGGCAAGATAATGGGATTAGAAGATTCGGGATTTAGGATAAGCCAACATAATTTTGATTTAACAGAATGGCAACACTGTCCTTCGTCTTTCTATTTTTTTCCATTCTATTCTATTAGTAGCCGGTAGCCCCCACACAAGCGTCTTAAAGAATAGATAAGTTATAATAAGTATTTATTAACACAAACATCCGATACGCTACTGAAGCAGAAGCTCAAATTAACGTATCTAAATTCTTTGACATCTATACAATGGTAGACAAGTAATTAATCCGTCTCTGTTGTGCAAGAAAAATATACAGCCTTACCATTTAAGTGAATTTCATAAATGATCCTGTTGCTACACGTATGTATATTATATAGTCACTTACTAGCGAAAAGTTGTTCCATTATTTCACTCAATTTTTGCCGAGATCTACCGCACGCTACAAAACCAACTATTTTAGAGTCTTTTTCGATAAATCGCGATAGTGTCACTGTTAATTTAAGTTCTGCCTCAATTTCCATCTAGATTTACTACCTTTATACAACTATCAGTAGTAGAATAAATAATAAATAACATAAAATAAGCTCCGTAAAGACTGACAAATCCACAAAATTTCAAATCAAATTCAAATGTGTCAAATGAATCGTCAAACAGAACTGGCAAAGATCCCACCAATCCCCACCCTAGAGAGCTTATCACCCATTATGCTCCTTCCTTAGTCTTCTTATTCAAAGTATAGTATATTATGTAGTATTTATATTTAGGATATTTTATCTTGTTAATAAAGTCTGAAAGAAATGCAATTCTATACATTTTAATTTATTAATTTTAAAGATATTAATTAGATAATGTATTTTTTAGATCTATTTGTATAGTTCTAGTTATCAATTAAAACATTTGTTATTATATAACCCCCAATACCGTACATAACGCCTAACATCTTATAATTTTATGTTAAACCCATGGTACAAAGAATACAAGGTATGATCGATAGCGGCTCCAATTTCGTTCAGTTCGCGCATACCACCTGTGACGTCACCAGGAAAATAATGAATAAATAAAAAATAAAGAAAGTTGACAGGAGATCTGCATTTTTTGGGGTTATGGTTAAGAATTGTTTATTTTTAAGACTTTTTAGTTCGTTTAATTTAATAATTACTAAAACCAGCAGTTCCAAAAATATATTTAAAAATAATAATTATCTATTAACATGGATTTGGACGATAGGTAAGAATACTGAATTTATTTCTATATTCGGTATAAAATTGTTTATTAGGTTTTTAGTTTGCGATGTTTATGGTAAATAATTTTCATTTTCATTGCCTCTGAATTCACATGAGGACAGAGTTGAGGATATCTATGGAAAAGTAACCACAAGAGGAATTGTTACATCATTTAAAAAATATTGGGAAGTTTATTGTTTCCCATCGAAAAGTAGAAAATGCCAATGCAGATGAACGTATTGTAATTGTGATAGAAGTAATTCTAAGGGTGAAGTTTATTATAATTAGTGGAAGTAATACCAAGGGTGAAGTTTATTATAATTAGTGACCTCTGCTTCTTTTTATATGTAGAAGTTTCTGGTTTTGAGAATAAATCGGTTGAACGACACCCAAAATTTAAAGGAAGTATTTGCATACCCAGAATATGCCCATCAAGGATTATATAGCTCAAATTTCCTTTAATGGTAGGCAATTATTCAATGCAAATTAACTATTTAAGTGACTGAAATATTAAATAGTTTACAATATGGTATATCACTAAAAATATATTACTTTTAGGTACAATTAGGGCCCGATACATTTCAAAAAGTAGAATATTATTTTATATTAAATGAGGTATTGTACTAACAATCAATTTATATTAATAACAGAGAATAAAAAATAACGGAATAAATAGTTCTTTTTTTTATACTACAAAAATAAACTATAGAATACAACAGTATTTAAAAAAATAAATAAAAAGTTATGTCCTGGCCGAGATTCGAACTCGGGTCTCTCGCTTCCTAGCCCGACTCCTTACGCACTGCTCAACAGTAACTTGCTTAGCGATAATTCAATGACGGTATATAAACAAAAAAACAGGTTTATAACAATATCTTGACGATTTGAACTGGCGCGCGGAGCGTGCTGACCAATAGCGCCTGTTATCACCTGTGACATAGCGACCAACCTGCGCAATATCATACCTTGTATTCTTTGTACCATGTGTTAAACCTACCAACGTACCTGGGCATATCCGGCTGGAAATCTGAAGAAACTAAAACTACAATTGTTCGAATTGTTTCTGCATTTACTACAACACAGCACTTTAAAATGCTCCTTCTTTGCATTATATGAAGTTATCCCCCCCAACGAAAAGGCCACACAATAATTATTCTAATATTAATGAACGCGGTACGGTTCCAATTTCTAATCACAAACTAATATGAAAAACTACCTACATTTATTTTTGATAACTCTGTTAAATAATATATATTTATTTATTGATTTTAACTGCTAACAGCGTTACAATAATACAAAAAAATTAATGTATATGTAATTGGGAGATTAATAAATTTAACAGAAATTGATATTTTAAATATAATTCTAACTATTTTGACAACAACCATTTTCCGACGCTCGAAATCTTTGCTCGAAATCAACAACCCCGACATTCAACTGTTTCCAAAGCCTACGATCCCGCTACTCGCAAACATCAGCGGACACGGGGTGCAGGCACGGCGCGGCGCGGCGTGACAATGACTGCCCATCACCAGGATCATAGGCGTCGATAACATATACAGGGTGGTCCGAACTGTATTCCGGAAACTTCGCCTGCATATTCTGCAGATAAAAATAAGAAAAACAGTTCGTAAAATATATGTCCTAAAATGCTTAGCTTCGGAGATACAAATTGTAGAAGTTTCATTTTTATTTCGATTTTTTCCAATTTAAAAAAATAAAAATTTCCCAAATTTATTATTTCAGTCAAATGTTTGTGTTTATTTTTTGTCAATAATGACATATTATATTGACTATTTTCATTTTAAATATCTTGAGAACGGTTGTTCGTAGCGATTTTTACCAAGAGACATTTTTTACGTAAAAAGTCACTAAAATGTTAATTTTTTCACTCAGTAGTTTTATACAGGTACGGACGAAAAGTTATTACTCTTCAAAACAGTTAACACATGTAGGTGGCGCCCCCTACAAATAGGAGTCATATTGACATGAAAATAATTTTTTTCATGCCAAAAAAAACCAGACACCAATTTTCATCCAAATATTGGCGGTATTTCAGAAATTATTTGTTAAAAATCGAAATAAAAATGAAACTTCTACACCCTGTATCTCTGAAACTAAGCATTTTAGGACATACCTACATTTATAAGAACTTTTTACTTATTTTTATCGGCAGAATATGCAGCCGAAGTTTCCGGAATACAGTTCGAACCACCCTGTATAGTAACTAAAAATTAAATATAGCAAACACGGAAATATAACTTTTAAATATTGACGTTCTGCTCAGTATAAACAAAACATTATGATCTTTGAAAGACTAAAGTGTATAAAGTCAAATCATTTTAGATTGGGCTTTTAAATTTTTCGAGATTTTCGCTATCCCGAGATTTAATATCGGGATTTCTGGGATAAACATACCCGGGGGTCCCGATTTGGAAACCCTAATTATAACTGTTTTTATGAGATTCATACAATTTAACATTAACATAAACTACGTTACCTTTTCGCAGTCTTGTTCAAACAGTCTCAACTGAAAGCACTGGTCCAATTTCACCTTTTTATGGTGCCAGAGTTGAAGTAAATGTTGCTGAGCGGTGTGGACCGCTTCGAGATTCTGTATAACTAATTTCTTAATATCCTGAACATCAGGACTTAATGTATCTGGACTGTTCCCACCCCCTCCCCCTTTGTCGTTGCCCTGGCCCGTGTCGTGTGTTCCACAGGCGTTTTGTAGCAACCGTTGCCCTAAAAATAAATTATTGGTTACAAACATTGAATATTATAAAAACAAAAGTTCAGAAATTCAGAATAAAGCACGAAAAATCAATAAAATGCTTTCAAATCAATTTTGTTTTGACTTTTGAATTACAAACAAAATTCTTAACAAAAATTCAATTCAATTCGTCTTAATTATGTTGTAATCTATGCTCGTAATTTTGTCACCGATTTTTCACTTTTTAGACCCAATCCAAAAAAGTGCATTGGGCATCTGTAGTTACTAGAATAAAAAACTTGGGAATTGTGTTTAAGTGCAAGTCTAAAGTATGTACTAGGATGTATTTTAGGAAAATATTTTAACTTCTATAGGGTGGCTCAAAAAAGTGTGAGTGGATCGGGATGATTTTTTTAAAGACAACACCCTGTATATTATTGCATTTTTAGCTTCCTTTCAGATCACTTTATATAATTCTAAGATATGAGTAAATATATTTCGGAAGTTTCAGAGGTATTAATAAATAAATAAAAAATATATATTTTTCAGCCTCTCTTAAAAAAATATTAAAAATACAAGAACTTGTTTGCCAACTTTCTAATATACAGGGTGTCCCAGAAATAAGTGCAAGTATTTTAAGGGGTGGTAGATCCCGATAAAAGAAACATACTTTCTTTTTATCGTTTTTCAAATGAGTCCAAACTAACGGAGTTATTTTACTTTGAAAACTAAAAAAAATGACATTTAGCTAAAATTTTGAGCACCACTGGGATTCTTCTGGATTTTCTTTCTTGTAAATTAATCTAATACCTATGTTGCCATATTATCAAGAAATTATGTTTTTTAACTAAAAACTATAAAAATTTCTAAAAAAAAAATTCAAAAAATTCCGAATTTTCTATTTTTTTTTGCAAAAAAACCTCATAGGCGCGTTTCTCGGGTTGAACTATACTACCAGTTAAAATACTTGCACTTATTTCTGGGACACACTGTATAAAATAATTTTTCCTCGTTTTTTTTTAATGGTACGGTTAAAAAAAAACGAGGAAACTGTACGATTATATCTTTGATAGAGGAAGAATTATAAAATGAACATTTTTTGTATTTATTATTAAGTACATATTTTAAAAATGTTAGCCGTTTCGCAAATATTCGCTTTTTTATTACATATGGCTCTTTGAACGGTTACATTCCAGACAAAAATTATTAGATGGATTTGATAAAAAATTACTGTTGAAAAAACCATATTTAATATAATATTACGAATATCCGCAAATCCGTTCAAAGTTTTGAAATACTTTAAATACAGAAACTGTTCATTTTTTAATTCTCCATCTAACAAATGAATAATATACAGGGTGTTGAATTAAAAAAAAATAACGAAGAAAAACTAGTTTATATTTTAGAAAGTTTGGTATAGAATTTTGAATGACAAGAGTACGATATTAATAGCAAAGTAAGTAAACAATAATAAATACCTAGTATAGTTTTGATTTCAGGACATTTCTTGTATTTTTAATATTTTTTTTTCAAAGGCTGAAAAAATATTGTTTTTATATATTTATCAATATTTCTGAAAATATCAACAAACATATTTAATAATATCTTAGGATTATGTAAAGTGATCAGAAAGGAAGCCAAAAATGCAATAATATAATAAAGGGTGTTCCATTTAAAAAAAAACATCGCGATCCCCTCACCCTTCCTTGACCCAACCTGTAGAAGTTAAAATATTTTCCTGAAACATATCCTAATACATACTTTAGGTCTGCACTTTAACAAAATTCCTAAGTTTTTTTTATTGTACAGATGTCCGATAAAATAAATATAAAAATAATGAATACCTAACACATCTATATCCTCCACTGGCGCCTTCATGATCTTCTTCTTCATCTCGTTGTGCAGATCTATCTTATGTTTGGCCCCGCTGACGTCATCAGCGAAGTCGTTTCTCGCCAGGTCTTCCTGCAGATCATCGAGGCGATCCAGTAGGTCCGCTGCCTGCCACGAGAATTCCTCTACAGCTAATCTAAAGGTGCAATTTTGATAAAGTTAACAATCACAAATACTGACATTATGATTACACAAATAATGATACCAGGCTGGCAAAGCTGTTTCAAAAACCGGTTCACACGGTATAAAAATGGAATTGCAATTTCAAAAGTTTGTTATTAACTACATATATTTACATGTTTAGAGTAGAACACAAATATATTTAAAAATAAAATAAAAACGTACCTAGTTTCAAGCCAGTTGGAGTGGTCGTAGGTGAGAGTTCCTTCCAAATCTGACGTGAGCTGTGTTGTGTCTATAATTTTAGGTAATGCTTCTATGCTTATCATATTTGTCTGAAAAAAAAATCATTATTAGTTAACTGGGCAGTTTTTATTAAACAATTGAATAATTGTATTATTAATATTTCTTTAAAAGTTCTTGCAAAATATATTTAATCATTTTTAACAATCAAACTACAGCAGCACATAAGCCAGAAGCATAGTGCTAAAAATAGGAGGCCGAAGCTGAAAGTTTACAAGGTATTGAGAATATCCAAACCAATTAGAAAAACTAACATTTTATTTGCTAGTGGTACTGAGCTTGTTTTTTTTTTATTCTGCCGCTTGGCTGTCGCCTAATGATGGCTACACACACTACTGCCAGCTTGACAAGCATGCATTAACAATCTTTTTGTACAAGCCATGCATAATTTACCTTCGCCGCCACACGGTACATGCATGCTTGAACAAGCTTCAGTTTATGCAGCGAAAAAGAAGGAAGTCCGCGAAAAAGAAGAAGGAATCCTGAAGGCATTTATCTTTTTTAATAACGGCATCCTTATCGGCTTGCCTGTCAATTAATCTATACTTATTAAGTAAAATTTTGTATGCTGCGTCCTTCTTCACCCTATCATAATATTCTGGTGATTTAATTCGCCAAAGACACGGCTAATTTTCGTATGCGCGAATAAAATCTTCCAATAATCCTCGATTGCTCCTTTTCAGATCGCTAGTCATGATGGCGACGCGACGTACAGGTCATTTACGATCACGGACTGAACTAATTGTTTGCACAAGCTGAATACATGTGGTACACACGTACCGTTTCGCTTGCGCAAGCATGGCTTGTCCAAGCTTGCATGATTCAAATTCAATCAATCATCAAGCGGCTTGCACAATTAAAATGCTTGCGCAAATTTTCCTTATAGACGCTACAGTTTGCTTGTACAAAAAGATTGTTCATGCATGCTTGTCAAGCTTGCAGTAGTGTGTGTAGCCACCTTAACAGTTTAAAGAGAAATACTGCTGTTAAAAAATTGTCATAAAAATATATAAAAAATCTGACTTAAGTCTTTTATAAAAAGACTTAAATCTTTTTAATGGCTTAATAAGTATTTTCTAAAAAGATTTAAATTTTCTATGAGCTTACAGCTCTGATAGCCACCTCAAAAAAAATAACTACACCAAGGATTACTCCACCTAGGCTACAAAAAGAAAAAATTAGAAAATATACATTATTTTCTCTGGTTTTCAGTTTTACATATTTATGTACTTTTATTTTTTAGTCAAAAACCTTAACTCAGACATATTAAACCTGTTTTTACCTCAAATTTGTACTTATGTGAGCCCAAGGACGTTCGCTGTTTCTGCCAAAAGTTATCCGGCTTGACGATGAGGGCCTGATGGACCACCCCCGGAGGAAAGTGCTCGTGCAGCGCCTTCAAAATAGGCTTGACAGTCGACCACGTGGCACCTCGCATGTCCACCAAAACGGTGAAGCCCAAGTTGCGTGCTTCGTCGCTGAAAATGAACATAAAAACGATTATTTCATGGAAAATTGAGATATTTTTGTATATTTTAATATGGAAAGTATTTTTAGAATTCCTGGTTTCCATACTTGACATCGTGAGTGGCAAGGGTAGCAAAGTATATTTAATAAATTTTATTTCCTTAGTTTAGTCAACAATTAGTTACAGAAATTGCTCTTTGAAATATTTGTATTTTAATAAAACACGCTTTTAGGTGTACCAAAAGTAACTTTATATATAGATATGTTTCGGCTTGTTAGACATTTCTCAAGATTTTTTAAAACTTATTAAATAAAGCTCATTAAATTTTGATACATCTGAAAGCGTGTTTTATAATTTTTAAACGTAATAAATCAATTATATATATTATTTATTAAATTTAGTTATAACAAAAGTGTATAATCATAAATCATGATTACCATTATACATTAATATTTCCTGGAACGTCTTTTAATTTTAAGCATTCATATGCAATAATTTTGGAGATGTGTTGTTTACGCTTGATATTGGTCAGTAATGCACGTGACCGAAACTTTGTGTAAATTTTCAACTATACAGGGTGGCGCCTCTCATACCCCGCGGAAGCCCCAAGGAGAACGGTAGTTTATATTGAAATGAAATTTTGGCAGCATATGTAGGTTAACTGAAAGCATTTTATAAAAATATATAGAATTATACTGGGTGTCCCTAAAAAAGTTACACATCAAAGTTGGTTTTTTTCTAATGGAACACCCTATATATTAATTGATTTTCGGATTCGACGAAAAAAATAAAGGTGAGTTTTATTAAAGAAGCATATACCTAAAATCTCAAGTTCACATTTTGTGAAAATGAAGAGTAAATTTTAAATTTCCATAACAGCTACCTAAATTTTCGTTGATCTTGTATAGCCTGATATGTAATTACAGTAACCATTGTATGTTAAACCAAAATAAAATTTGACCCGAAAAGTTATACAGGGTGAGACAAAATTAATATGGAACATTAGTCACTTTTAAAATCAAGTTACTCCTTTATTTTAAATGGAACACCCAGTACATTTTCCCGGTGTTCAATGGGGAATTTATATATCTTCAAAATATTATTAGGGTTGCCTATCCCTCAGAAAAAGATTTTCCGAGATATTTTAATTTTTATGATTTTGCGTCAGTAAATCTTTATTATTTGAAAAAATCTAGGTGGCTGTGTGATATATCTTTTGTTAATTTAACAAAAAATAAAGATTGAAGAGTAAAATACTCAAGGGTAATAAAAAGATACACGTTTAAAACATATTTTAATTATAACCGCATTAAAACTAGATATAAACCTATAATTATGCGACAAAAATTTGCTAGATGATATCAAATGCTCAAAATGCTTCCTTTCCTGTTAACTGAATAAAATGATTGTCTTTTCAAAAGGATCTTTTCATTTTAAAAGGCATATGTGGAGTTCTACCTCGCAAAACAGTTACAATAATTTCTCTCATGTTGTCGACACTAGTTGATCGAGTTTTGTAAACATTGTATTTAACATATCCCCATAAAAAAACCGGACTAGATATAATCAGGAGCATTTAAGTATTCTATTAATTAGTGAATGCACACTGCATTCACCAGCTAATAGAATCATATCAATTCTCTCTGATGTAGGATAAGTTTGCATTTTCGGCAAATTTCTGAGAAGTTTCTTTTGTTTTAACTGACACAAAATGATGACTAGTTGTTAAAGTTGGACTAATTAGACAACTATGTTGAAGTAACGTCAGACCATATCACAGCCACGTAGATGTTATCAAATAATAAAGATCTACTAAGATCAAATCATGTAAATGAAAATATCTAGGAAAATCTTTGTTTGAGGGGTAGGCAACCTTAATAGTATTTTAAAGAGACATTAATTCTCTATTGAATATCGCAATAATATACTGGGTGTTCAATTTAAAATAAGAGAGTAACATGTTTTTAAAGGTGACGAATGTTCAATATTAATTTTGTCTCACCCTGTATACCTTTTTGGATCAAGTTTTAATTTGATTTAAAGTACAATAGTTAATTTAACTACATATTAGGCTTTACCGAGTAAATTCCAATTTAGGTAGCTTTTATTGTAATTTAAAAAATGGTCTTTATTTCTAGAAAATGTTAAATATGTCAAAAACCTTACATTTGAGTCATATACTTTTCTTATAAAACTCACCTTTATTTTTCTCCCAGAATCCGAAAATCAATTAATATATAGGGTGTTCCATTAGAAAAAACACAACTTTGATATGTAACTTTTTTTGGGGACACCCTGTAGAACTCTCTAGAATTAACCTATATATGCTCACAAAATTTCATTTCAATACAAACTGTCGTTTTCCTTGGAGCCTCCGAGGCGTATGAGAGGCGCCACCCTGTACAGGGTGTCCCAATATTCTGAGGACAATACTTCTACGTATTTTTGGAATCAAAATAAGTTCATTGGGCATAATTTACCTCTGTACAAAAGTGCTTCGTTTGTCCACTAGAGGTCATCAAACCTTAAAAAAATAAACACATTTTTTCAAATATTTTAAAAACCATTATTCCGATTGGAATGAGATTTTGGGCGTTATGTTTTAGTGCTCTAACATTTAACTTTCATTTTTAACTTTCATTTAACTTTGCTTTGGCTTTTATATTACAAACCAGGTCTCTTTGGGTTCAATGGACGCCTTTTTTAAATTTAACTTTCACAAAAATCAAGAAACAGTACGGGAAGAAGGTTCAAAACAACCCCTACATAAATTTTAATATAAGTATTTTCCGACTCCACCGAAGGCCAAAATTCTTTTAGTAAAATGGTCCCTCTAGTATTTACTACATTTTTTGTTTCTTGTAAAAAAACGCCATTGTGCATACTTTTTTAGGAAAAAAATATTTCCAAAGCTGACTTATAAAAATGTTTTTTGTCACATCGATCTATGGAGGCGCATAAAATCTATTATGCTGTAATAATCCAGTTGGCGAAAATATGGAATTTTATGTTAGTATCACAAATTATATTTGACAATAAGCTTCATAAATAGCTTAAAAAAATAATTTTTAAATTGATTAACGTTCGGGTTTATTTTTGATTGATACCCCAACGGACAAACGAAGCACTTTTGTATAAAGGTAAATTATGTGCAACAAGTTATTTTGATCCAAAGAAAACGTACTTGTTCTATATCCACGGAATATTAGAACTCACTGTATATTTTGTAGGTCTACTTGGAAAAACAGTGTTTTTCTATAACAGATAAACAATATAAATATTAGAAGCATCATTTTACGAAAAGAAAATCTGTCGTCGGTGGAGTTGGAAAATATTTATACTAAAATTTATGTAAGGGTGGGGATAGTTTTCACCCTTCCCGTACTTTTTCTAGATTTTTATGAAAGCCTAATGTTAAAGCACTTAGCACAATAGACAATTAAAAGTTCATTCAAATCGGAATAACGGTCCTTAAAACATCTAAAAAATATGATTTTTTTTAATTTGATGTCCTCTAGCGGACAAACGAAGCACTTTTGTAGAGGTAAATTGTGTCCAATGAACTTATTTTGATTCCAAAAATACCTAGTAGTTCTATGTCCACGGATTATTGGGACACTTTATAAATGTATACTCTGTGCCATATAAAACCAAAATATTACCTTTATCAGCAAGAACAATCAAATTGTTAAAAAATGTTACAATTGAAAGAAAGATTTCTTAAAGCTGACCACAAGAAAGCCGTCTGGAGTTATGTTAAACACTAGACGATTGGCTTTTTCAAAGAAGCTTTTGCCATATAAAATAGTATACAGGGTGGCCCATCGAAAACGTTCCGCAAGGCATGACTGCCAGGGTATTTATTTTTTTCAAAAAATCCAAAAACACGTCAATTTTGTTTGTAAGGGGGACAACTTTTGCTCCAAAAATGATTGCAAACTATTCATCCCCCAACTTTTTTCAAATGGAAAGGGGGGTCAAGTGGCGCCGCAATGAAAAGAGCTTTCTATTCTCTATATTTCCCCGCTTCGTTTTTGAAAATCGGTCGAGTCATTGAGAAAATATGAAGGAATGAAATTTGAAAAATTTATTTAAGCATTTATCAGATTAAATGATAATTTAGGATAAATTCGACCAATTTGCTGTTTTTTCTTATTATTTCTAGATAAAATTACACTGAATCACCACAATACACCAAAACACTTTTACTTTTACACTGGACGCGCGTTTCGCTAACCATGTTATGATTATAACCAGCAGATGATTATAAACTAAAGTACAATCTACAAGTTGAGCGTTTATATACTCGCCCAGTAGGTACCGAGTGGGCGTGGCAAAATCTAGCCAACCGAGTCAGAGCCCACTGAGCGTAACAGTTAAATGTTAACAGTTAAATATGGGCTCTGACTCGGTTGAAAAATATTCTCTGTGTCATCATCATTCTCAGCTTATTCAACCATTTCCAATTATGGTGCAGCCTCCCTCACATTTATCTATTCTCTTTTGTATTTGAGCTTATTGGTTGTTTATTATTGTCCAAATTATCCCTACTAATTTCTTAATATCATGGTCTAATCTCAGGTTCATTTAACTGTTAACATTTAACTGTTACGCTCAGTGGGCTCTGACTCGGTTGACTAGATTTTGCCACGCCCACTCGGTACCTACTGGGCGAGTATATAAACGCTCAACTTGTAGATTGTACTTTGCTAACATGGTTAGCGAAACGCGCGTCCAGTGTAAAAGTAAAACTGTTTTGGTGTATTGTGGTGATTTAGTGTAATTTTATTTTGCTGTGTAACACCAAAGGTTCCAACCCTCAACTGTAATATTTCTAGATGTTTACGCATTTTTTCACTTGCCACAACGTTGAACGATCAGGTGCGGTAGTTGCTAGATAGCTGTTCTGTGACTTGTACGTTGAAGTTCTTCACAATATCGTTAAACTGACCTACAATAGGATTTCCAAAAATACCAGCCCACACGTTCAATTTCGGAGGGTTTTGTGTG